TGTCCTTGTTTTGACAGCTAGCTAGGCGTATGATGCACATCTAGAGCATAGGTCACAGATACTCTGGTCAAAACCTGAAAGAAATCAACTTTATTAAACATACTTTGCTGTGGGGAAATATTTTAGAAGCTATGTTTAAGCAGAACACGGAGCATATATTCATAAACAGGATCGACATCTGTACTGATAGTGTGGATATCTAGCAATAAAAGAAGGAAAGCTCGCCGCCTTTGGACAAAAAGAGCTCGTAGTAAAATAGCCAGGTTATTCATCAATTTCAAAATTCATCAGTAATTCGAAAACCATCACTATTCGTTCTTTTTGGCAAGGAATGCCCATTGCTCTTTAAAGGACAGATGTTTCGATCTCTTCCCTATAATTTTGAAATGCATAAGTCATCTTGTTATATCATTTATGGTGCGAACGTCGCAAGAAACTATTAAAAGTGTTTTATACATTTTTAAGATGTAGAAAAGCAGGAGAAATGTTAGTGTTGCAATTTTGAGGTCTAACCAGTCTCGTTATTCTCACAGTCAATCTGCTTTAGTTTCTATAACATATATTGAAGATAGAAGGAGAAATTGCACTTTGCAGTAAACGTTTCATGGCACATCATCAAAGAAATTACAAAAAAAAAAAAGATTTGTATGCATTATGCGCTATCTATATATTCAGGTAAAAAGAATAACAGATTCAGGATTTTTTTCCCCACAGATAGACTGCTTTAATTTCTTTTTCGTCTTTTGTTTTACGATTTCTTAATGAGTGGTAAACTTTTACTTTTAATAACTGTATGTCCGTTACCCTGTGAATATCATTGTTTTATAGTTTACAAACTGACTGCTTCATGTCTAATTTTCGTTCATTTGACTTTCAAATTTACGTCAAACTTGGAAAAACGCAAAAGAAACATGTTTCCTTTTCGGTAGAATTTCCATTTCCATTGTAAAGTATCATCACAAAACACACATTCTTATATGTCGAAGAATTCTGACCTTTTCTATGTCGATCATTATCCTTAACTCTTACTATTTTTATTGCTGAAAATATACCGGCTTTGGTAAGGAGAAATTCAATTCTGAGAAATAATAAAAAAGTGATGAAAGAAAATATTCATGTTTCAGTTATTCTGTCTCTGTTTAGCAGAAAACGAAGGCGTAATATGCATCAAAGGAATAACATGAGAATCACAAACACTGAGAAAAAAATGCAAACCATGCGGGAGATAGAATAGTTCGGAACAAATATTGTGATAAATTTATCAAAATTATCGACATCTGTGCAGCCAAAGAAGATTATTTGTCATCAACCAAAAAATGCCTTTTGCTTTTAAACCTAATTTTTCTAGAGTATAGGAAGCGAGAGGGAATTGAATTAAACTAATATATAGGAAAATAACTGAAAGTAATAAAGCTCTTATGTTTAGTACCTGAATGTTGATTGTCCCTTTACTCTGTTAGAAACTGATCGCATTTATCTGCATAATAAGCAGAAGAGAGTTAATCCACACAGAAGTAAAGATTTTTACAGCTGTTGTTTTAAATAACATGT